AATCAAATAACAAATTTACCTGGGCAATGTTCCATTCATTATGCCCTATTCAATTTCTTACTCGTTAGTGTACTGTGTTTTGGGTTTTATGGACTGGCCTTATATTACCCTATATTATGTTTAATTGCAAACTGGAGTTGACATTCATTCTAATGCATTAAAATCATACAAAAAACACGACTAAAAGACAACATTAATTAAGAAAAATATACATTAATTTAATTGATGTTAGAGCCATGGATTTGAATGTATTTTCAGTGCAGAACATGATTTGTGTTTTTGATATTTATTAGTTATGACACGAAATATATTTTGCAAAACATAACAAATTAAATTCTTATTTTTGGTACAATTTTTCAAATTAATTTATGTTCATGTTGGGGTTTATAAAACACAGTACACATAATAAGGCATTTAAACATGGAGTGAGTTTATATATTTTGAAATAATAAACTTACAATAATTCGTGTGTATTTGGTCTCAAACCTAAGTCCTAATGTTGGATACAATATATGAAATATTTAATTATTGATGTTATTCTCTATCCTATATTATTCATTGAGTACTATTCTATGCATTCATAGTCTGTCTAAATTTGTTAAGCCCTGAGCCTTAGAGCTCCGGTATATTAATACAATATATGAAATATTTAATTATTGATGTTATTCTCTATCCTATATTATTCATTGAGTACTATTCTATGCATTCATAGTCTGTCTAAATTTGTTAAGCCCTGAGCCTTAGAGCTCCGGTATATTGAGCCCATAGCCATCATTAGTTTTAATATATCTTAATCCTTATATATTATTAAATATGAATCATAATCATTGCATTCATTCAGAATAAGACAACAACAGAATATTCTATATTTATTTTTATTGCAAAACAAAAAACATAACATTTTGGTAAAGTTATTGCATTTTGTACAGTAGCTGTAGTTTTTCAATGTTTGCAATAAATAACTGAATGAAAAATATCTATTATTTATTGTCTAAAATTAAGTTTCTTTGTCGAGAGTTTAGACAAAAACAGTTGAGTTGACTTGACTTCCAAAACATATTTTTCTCCGAAGAGAAATATTTCAAAAACAGAAATAACTCTAAAATATTTGTTGAAGTTTTGTGAAAATAAATTTTTTAAGTAAAACTTTTCTCAGACACCAAATTCTATGAGAGAAAAACATATCGAAACTCATCACAAGAAACTATATTTATATATAATATATATATTATTAATACTCGTCAGCAAATTCTTTGCACTAATTTTTAGCTATTTTTCACTTGTTTTAAGTCAAGCAATCAGTTTTGATGCGAAAACACTTCTCTATAGACTATAGTGTATATGAAAAGGGAGCAAAAAATCATAGAAATGACACTTTATTCAGTTGATTGACTTTATTATGACTGAGACTTCTATCTCTTGCCACTCATGGAAAGGCAGTTTTGGGTCCAAAATAATGTAATTTGTTTCAGACTATAGAAGTGGAAAATAGAAAAATATTACGGAATCTCTGAGTGATTGAACCCATTTTATAACACAAAATATATTTATATAAGACTCACTTATATATAAGACTTATATATTTATTTCAGATCTTAAGATTAGAATAAGAGGCAAGACTTTAGTGTCTCTAATATTATGGTATTACTGACTCGCGAGTAGTATTTCTGAGATTATTATTTAGCTAATAATTTGTAATCTATACTAAAGTACAGATATATACAGATCTTTCTAAAACCTTTATTTGTATTAAATTTTGATCGCATATATTTCCAAACCGTCGACTTTAATCATGTGTTCATGTGTTGTGTATTTATGCCACAAATCTCTCCAAAAACTTCTCATTCTCTCACTCTCTCCATCATAGGTCCACACAATGCAAACGCTTTCATAATGTAATACATTAAACAGTCTTTTATCAAAAATCATTATATTTTACTTTTGAAACGATGTTTTAAGCAAAGACTCTTCACTGCATTATTAAAGTATTCACAATATGCCTTCCTATATAAGACCACCAAATTTTGTCAAAGTAGACATACTCTATCCTAATAGTATTAGACAAACCTACCGCACAATACTGCATAAAGTATGCAAAAGTTACTTTGAATTTGGTTTCATATGAATATAGTATTCGTTTCTTATTTATGAGATAAAAGCATAATTATATTTATGTATAAGTTATAATGTATAGTCTAAATATTTACTAGTATTTATTTATTTATTATAGAGATAGTTGTCAACAAAAATAAAATTCAACAAAAATTATAGCTTTAATTCAAGAATTTATTTGGCAATTACACAGACTTTCATAGTCTTAATTTATTTCATTTTTCACATTTCACATCTAATTTTTTACTTTTTCAGCCAATTCTCGGAACATTTTTACAAATCATGAAATTCAAAAACAGCTATTTTGAATGTTTTATATCATTAAAATAGAAATGCAAGAGATTTTTATTCTCAAAAGTTGTGTGCATTTTATAATCGCTTAGGAATTGCAGCCAAAACTCGTGTGTCTATAGGAATTGAGATCACTTTATGTGTTAAACAGATTTGTGACAATTTTCTGCTTAAAACTACAAAAAGTTTTAAAAATAAAATTTATGTTTAACTTATATTTCACAATAAACATTATTAATTATTGTATAAAAATGACTTAAAGGAATGTTTGAAAATATGATCAAATATATGAATTTATTTCATATTTTACAGACTCAATGACTGCATATTTAAATGCCACTAAAAATTGTCTTTTTATTTTCCATTCACTCATTTATGATTGATTGCAAACACAATCTTAGTTTTGATTCATAATATTTTATGATAAAAATATTTCATTTCATTCCTTTCCATCACATTTTCATTTGAACTCACAATTTAATTAAAATACATTTTGTTTGAAATTTTATATCAAAAACTATTTGATGCATTATATGATAGCTAATTATAATATATTTACTAATAAAATGAATTTCGTAATTTAATTAATGCAAACTTGTGTTTAATTTAATAATTAATTTCTGATATAAATTACTAGCCGTGGAAACTTTGTTATAAATTTATTTTTATTATTCTACATAAAGATAAGAGAAATACTGTACAAATAAATTGCTTAATTTGATACCAAAAATAATTCACTATATTTTAGGATATAATTACTTTGACATCTATGACACCATAAAATTATTTACTAAATATTAAGCCTATTTCTACCAATATTCATTTTAATTACTTTTAAATTCCATTACTTTATTTTGTTTTTGCCTGAGCAAAGTTCCTAAATCTTATAACTGAATTAGAATTTAAATTAAAAATTATAATATTTGTCTAGAAATTTAAATTAAAATTTATATTCCAAGATCAACTAAAAGTAAGATAAAATTTTAATTAAAATTTTAATCCTAAATGAAACACATAATTGAATTTTGTTAATAATTAATATTTTAAAAAGTTCATTATAATACTATGGAAGTTTAGCCTTTATTGGAAAATAGATACTTTATTATGATATTGTTTAATATAAAATACGAATTAATTACACAATTAATGGCTTAATATAAAGTATTTTGAGAGCACTTATTATTTGACGGAGAAATGTTTTAACGCATCAATACTTTTCGATAATAATATATTAGTTGCTCTCAAAAGTTGTTCACTTGAATTGGTTTGACTTAAACTGAAGACATTGAGTGCACAGTAGTGTAGTGCCAGTGATAGAGGGCTATAGGACTGGAGACATAATTAATTTTGTCGCCGAATTGATCGCTACCACAGCATCAAAATGAGTGCAACGGAAGCCCAATAGCTTGTAATCAATTGAAAAGCCATCTGAGAAAGTGTACCTAATATTACCGATATTATTGATTATCTACTACAGCATCATATTTGGCAAACTCTTAAACTCGAGACTAATTCATATCTAATGTTAACTTCAATATTAGCCAAAACATTTCGGTTCAGTTATAACTTTAATTGTTTTTCATATTTTATGAAACTTTTATTAATCAAATTACTACTTGTGAATAGGCATTAGAGCATTATAATTTGTAACAAACTATACAATTTGTTTTACTAAAATAATTTCTAAATTAAAACATGCAATACTGTAGTACTGTATGCTTTAGTTGAGTTAATATATTTTGCATATCACAAATATTTGAGTGAAATGCGTTAAAAATATATCATAGAATTTATTTATTAAATTGTAATTTATATTTAATTAAAGTAGCACACTTTCTACTGTAACTAATACGAGACCGGTAACCATAGGTTTGTTTCAATATTAAGTTAACATGCTACCTAACAGATACAGTATTCTGAATTTCAATATTAACTTTAGATTTTTTTATTAATTTATAATTATCATTAAATTATCAGATAATTTCACATTTTAATTTATTTTAATAATATTTTATTTACAAATTAGAGAATTTTACAAATAATTTAACATAGAGATATTAATATAAAAATATCTTTTATATAATATATAAATGACAATATTTGATTTCAAACTTTCATTATAAGTTATATGAATGAATGAATAATCGATAATAAAGAAAAAACAAATTTACTTAAAATGACATTTTCATTTAAACAAAAATCGTTTTATTATAAATAATAAAATATAAAAACATATGTTATATAATATAAGAATTAATTCCAAACAAGAAATTTAATTACATATCGACTGAACTTTTTTGCGGCATTTCTTAGAAATTTCTTTTTTAATATATTCTTATATTTGATGAGTGACTGTATATTAAGGATTGAATTTAAATATTTGTTGAATAGGTTTCGTCTTTCGGTTCACGTAATTCTCTCTCATCTGATGATTATATTGAAAGCAAAAGGTGTTCACAATATTATAATATATTTTTTAATAAAAGTCTTAGAAATGACGACAAAAAATGAAGCCATTTATGCCACTTATGACAAAGTTATACCACTTTTGGCGCTTTTGGTTAAAAAGTTTCTCATATTATTAAAAAAGAGCTGCCGTTCCTCCGCAACATCTCTGAGCTCATGATTCAAATAAAAAACATATAATATATATAACAGTCGAGTGAATAAAGAAGTCGACATTCAGTCAGAATAGATCGTCAATCAGAGGCATAGGAGTGTAGTATAACTGAAATATATTTTGTGTGTCTCTACTCAACAAAAAAGAGATCATTTGATGGACTCATTGTGAATAAGAGACGGCAAAAGGGCTTTACTTTCCAATTGATCGCTCATTCAATGCAAATATAATCTGACGGCAAAAAACGCGTTAAACTGTTTATCAGTCGATGAATTGGGACTCAAAATATATATCTCAGAATATATTGAGTAAATGAGCGCCGACTGCAATATGTGTGGTGCGGCTGTGCCCTACCGTTCCCATTCATTGCTGTTCCCAACTTATGCTAAACTCTTTAACAAATAGTGCCAAATATTGGAATATATTTGTTGTTTTTGCCTAACCTTTGGGGCAAAACAAATAAATTTTCAACAATCATTGCGTCAATAATGCACTTGTGATTTATGATTCACAAACTCCAGGAGCTATGCGAAAACGGCACAACAGCCTTCTCCGTTCGCATCCTCCACGACATGCCGGCGCTAAACACTCACTCTTACTCTCTATTGTAATAGTTGTCTCACTTTTTTATGATAATTCAAAAACGGTGTCGTTTTTTCTTCATTCGTTTGCAGATATAAATTGATATAAATGTTATGCAACACAACATTAGGAGACCGGCGGCGCCCATCACCAGCAGTAGTGTCGACTCATTCATGAGGACACTCCACAGTTTGTGTCGTTTGCACAGCGCTTCATCTTCATCTTCGCTGACACGACCACCTGATCCTATCACTGGACAGTTGGCCACTCCATTGCACACCTATTTTCAAAACAGATACCGGAGTTCATTACTTATACTTGTAGTATATTATTATAAATATATTTTCATCTGAAATAAAATATGATTTCTCTTTTTTAACTTTTATTATCGTGTTTTAGCACATGTTATGCTCTCATAAGTTATATATCAAGCGATAGCATAGCCTTTAACATCATTTATTAGATTATAAAAAGTTTTGACAATTTTTTGTGAGCTATACTACAGAAACATATTTTTCTCGCTATAAAAATACGTCAAATCTCTAAAGCAAACGCTTATCGATAGGAAAAACTTTAAAAAATAATAATTGAATTAATGGGAGAAAATATTTTGGTTGCGTTTGGGGCGCCGGCAGTCAATACATTGAATACATACCAGTTCTTGTTTAAGACACGCCGGAGGATTAGTGCACAAGAATTCACAGTTTCGACCCATTGGTACCAATTGCTCGGCTGAGGTGATGGGGAATAGGAGCTTGAGTTGAGTGTATTTGAATAATAGGAAACTCCTGTTAGCCGGCGCTCTACTCATGTAATATATAGTGATTACAGAACTTGAATAAGTATTTGGAGAAACACTTTGGTGTTGAAGAGATATGTCTTCGCTCTTAATTATGATATCCCTTCGATAGAAGTTTTGATTTTGTTTTGTTTGCTTTTCATGTAATGATGCGGCGGTTGTGGAGTGGAGTGGAGGGCAGACCTGTATGTCTCTTAACGTTAATGAGTCTGTGGAGCAGTTTATATGCTCTCCAATACGGAATGTGATGTCTAATTGAGGAAAGAGAGGTAGTTTCCACATACAAAACACCGGATCGTTTTGGGCCTCATATGACAAACTATTAATCGATTCTTTCAAATATGAAGATTTAATTAATTTATTGTCAGAATTCAGTTCCGAATTAAATGGGAACTCAAGAAAACCCTGGAGTCGAGGCGTTAGGATCTCATTAGGACCACAACGAGTGTCACTAAAAAATCGATAAATAACCTAAAAATAGAAATTTCAAACCATATTTACTACAAATTACATCAAATAGGGGTTCGCTATAATAAATGAAGTCTCTCTCTCTCTCTCTCTCCCTCTCTCTCTGCATAAAAAATGTCAAACCATAAGAAACTTTTTTAGTTTAATATTATATTTCATAATTTATAACATATTTCACTAGCTATATTAGTTTGTATAGTAAGATATTAATTTAATAAATATATTTTGTCATTATTTTTATTTATTTCACTTTATTTGAAAGCAAACAATTAAATAGAATTTTGAACAAAAAAAGGATAAATAGAAAGCTTTAAAGAAGAGCTAACTTTAAGCCAATATTTGCTGAAAGTTTTATAATATATTGTTTGAGATTGTATTGTATTGTATGATAAATAGAAGAATAGCCAAAACAAACCGATTCTCATATCATATCTAATATATAGTATTGTATTAAATGAAAGCATTGAATGAATGTTTGGGACATAACTCACATGAATGGGGGAGAAGTAATGTGTGAGATGTTGTGCTCTCCATTCGGCCGGTAATTGTAATGATATAATCATTTGCGCTCCAATTGACACCACATATGATGTGTCCGCACTCGACGTGGGCGCACAATAGCACAGGGGCTCCGATGGGTTGGCATGTCTTCTATCAATATTACGGTAGATTACGATCGTTGGCGAAGAAATGCATTGCTTACAGTTAGTGGCCATAAACGGCATAAGCATCGATACATTAACCCTTCCGTGTTGTAGGGATGAGGCATCAAATGATGCGTTGCATACAATGCCTGTGCTCTCGCTTCTGTTGAAGTCATCGTAATTCCAAACGACAGATCCCGATGTCATGGAGTCAGGAGTTATGTGTTTTGAGCACATCTTTGACAAGTCGTTCACATCTGAGTCCGACTGTCGGTGAATGAGTTTCACCTCAAAGACATAGTTCAGAGACGAGCCGTCGAAAGAGCCCACGAGTGACGAGAACTGTACGGTCAGTGCGGGTCCGCTACTCATGTAACTCGTCCTCACATTTCCGCTCTTTATATCACATTTCGTGTAAAACCACAAAAAAATATTAATAATAATTTGGATCAAATTTCATATTAAAAGACTAAACGAAAACAAGATTTAGAAAAATGAAAACACTTTTAGGAAACTAAATGTTTGAGTAAATGAAAAAAGTAATAAAAACAAGAGAGCGTTGTGTAAACGGATCCAATCAATGGCTTACTTGTGGTTTATTCATATCACAGAGTCGTGTGATTAGGGCTGACATGTCGGCGTCGTTGGCATCGAATATACGAAGGCTTTCCTGACATAAAGTGGTTCTCTCGACACGAAATGATATGAATTCCAAAGAAATTAACGCTTTTGTGTCTTTGGCCCTAAACTTGTACAGACATGTAGTGTTGGACGGATACCACGAGCGTATCGGTGCAAATGAATTGCCAACATTACTGTCCACAGTTAGCTCCCTTTCTATGACACAACTCCCATTCAATAGCTATTTAAAAGAGAGTTGTTCATCAAGATAGAAAAACATTATTAGACGTTAATTTGCCATTAAATTCCTAACAGATATAATTAATAGTTTTTTTCTGTAAAAGCAAAGTATCAAAGGAGTCTTTTCATTGAATATTAAAATATTCATTCGTTTAGTCTTTTTATATTCATTTTGGTTCAGTTTTTTCACATAAAGAATTTGAACTCAAATAATGATATTATTGTTCACATAGAATATCATTCGATATACAAAAGCATTGAGTGATTGACGAGAACTCAGTCTAACATTAAGTTTGCATTTATAACATCTGTTTCTGAGATTTGATACAAAACTTATAAAAATAAATTATAAGAAGCGGATTCTTATGGGTCTCCCCTTAAATCTATATAACTGTGAGCGCTATTAGTTGGATAGTGTAGTGAATAGTGTTCACTATAGCCGGGCACACGAATAGACATTATTTATTGAGAATCGTTGAACAATATCACAGAAGCTCTGAGTTTCTTATATTAAAGACAACTCAAACACAGTTTGATATATAGTTAGGAAATACTATTAGAAACGCAAAGCTTATGCTTATACAGTATCCAATGCTTAGTCTTACCATATAATAGTATACTGTACTGTAAAGTGAAGCACAGAATATTGCAAACAGAATATAATATAAAACTCTTTTATCGTTTACAATAGCATAATGTAATATAACTTAATTATAATTAAGATTGCAATTTATTTGTAAATGTAGGCATAATATGAACACATTATTTAATGCATTCATCAACAGTACAATTGAATGCATTTTTACTATTATATGAAGTCATTTGTCTAATTGCTTATATTTAAAGTATAAATTAAAATAAGTGATCATTTGTTGCGAAGTTGTCATGAATTTTATGAATAGAGAAAATATTTGCTTTTCTATTCAATTGAATGGTAAAAGTTTTTACAAGAATTTATATTCTTAGGAAAGAATTGAAAAGATTTTTGACTCAAGTATTAAAGGCTTTGCAGGCTTTATATACAGTAAGACATTGTGTGGAAGGCATACCTGTATCGGTACATGAGTTGCAGTATCTATAATGGCATCGGCTTTGAAATGAAATCCAGTCGAGAGCAGGGGCCCGGCCGGGGATGTAATGAATTCCACTAACATATTACTTGTTGACGATATTATACTAGATTTGATACGTCCTCTAAAAATAGAGTAATGTTTTAAGAGTTTGAGTAATAAAAGTGAAAAAGCGATTAGAGTTAGGAGTTTGTAGTCTATCACTAAAAACACTAACACTAACTTAAATGAGACTAATATTGAGACATAAAATGATGGAAAAGTGAAGCCAATAAAGCATTGAAGCAAATGATAGGCACTCTATTGAATAGTTTGATTTAATTTGAGTCTTACTTTCCGCACAGCGTTGCGATGATAGGCGCGCTCTCATCGACGCCGTCATAAATCCGCACGAAATCAAAGGGACAGTCGTTTAATTTGGTGCTTACGGGACGTGGAAAACACATTAACAGGTTATCGCACGCCTGTCCGTCCACATCAAACGCACTCAACTCTAAGCCAACCAAACTGTGTCTGGCGTTGAGGTGGTATCTGAACAACAGATACTTATATTTAATATATTTATAACTATTTTAGGAAAAAAGCTCTTTAATGTAACCAACAAATACATAAAAGTAATCTGAAAAACATGTATTTATTTCTATATATGATCTGATTATACTGTGTGTTATATATAGAAATATTAGGGATGGAGGGGACGGTAGAGAAGTGAGGAAATAAGGGAAGACTTTAATGGACTCTAATATCCGAAAGTATAGACAAAAATGACAGTAAATAATATAACAAGAAAAATGTTTTGCAAAAAACGTCTTCAATCTTATAAGACTTGAGTTTCTCTAATATTTTCATATAAAAGCCATACAAACCTGCAGCGAAGGTTCCGACCATAGATTCCCGGATAACCTTTAATAACAAATAATATTATTAATGGCAACACTTCTTCAGGAAAACACAATCATTTATATAACTTTTGTCAAACGGCTAACGTTTTTATAAAAGTAATGTTGAGTAACAGGAGTCTTTTAAATTGTTTCTAGCGACTGATTAGATAAAAAGCTTTTTATATTGAATTTTGAGTTAATTTGGATATATTTCAATGGATTGGGAATAACAGCGTTTAACTCGATCTTTCAGTCAACTCTCAAATGAGATGAAAAGCTTTTAAAAGTGTTTTGTCATTCATTTATTTATTTTAAACAAAATGCTAATAAAATGTATAAAAGTCTAGAAAATGAAATTTATTCCGAAATACATTTTATACATAATGTATGGACTGTATTGACGAACCGGGAGATTGGATGGTACAGCGGGGTCCGGGCGAGCAATCAGGATATGTCTTCTCACAATAGGTTCCAGCGATAGGAACTCCACGTCTGTGAGGGTAGAGCTGATGAAACTGTCCGTAACGGCTATTAACTGAGTTCTGTTGCTCGACATTAGCATCGAATTGAATATAGCTATCCATCTGATAGTCCTCCACATGAAACACAACCTTCACGTACGGCGTCTCCGAAATGTATGTCTTCGGCGTATCGATCTCTCCGCAGTAGTAACCTATGAGTCCCACAATCACGCCATACATACACCACCACCGCATCATCGACATCAACATCACATGCAAAATGCAAATATAATAAATAACACTTATTAGCATATATTTGAATAGACTTTGATTTGAAATACAATACTTTTAAAACATTATAAAAGGCAATTCTAGTCTTTCGGATACTTTCTTAACACTGTATATATTGTACTGTATAAGAGAGTAACAGTGCTCTGTATTGGGAAACATGACTCTAACCGGAATGATCTTTATTTGAATAATTGGATTCTCGATATCCATCGACGATCTGCACGTATCCTCCGATGCACTTCTGTCTGTCATCGCTGGGTTCGCCTACTTTGAGTCGAGTGAACCGCACGAACACAACCCAGTCGTCCCTTTGAGGCCGAATGCGAATACGATATGTGCAGTGCATAGGCTTTCCTCTATTGGCATCAGTAACCGGTGGGCCCGACACTGTCTGGTATATCTCCACCGTTCGGTTACATCGATCCAAATCTGATGAAACTATTTAAATATTAAACGCATTTTTGAGTGAAAAGTGATTTATTATTTGTCTGAATGTCACTTCAATAGACATTAGATAACATCATTGAAACCCTTTTTGTTAATTTCATTTCTTACCGCTCGTGTCACATGAGACCAAACTTTTTGATATTACATTCAACGCAATGACAATGGAGAGCAAAAGCACAAGAAATTCATTTTTATTAGCTTTTAAAAAGCTCAAAATAATGTGTTTTCTCGAAGACATTATTCACATTTTATACAAAAAACTTTTAAATAATAAATCGCTTTTGATTTGAACGAAAACTTTCTATAAATAGGTTTCGGCATATATTGTAAATAAAATCTATATACTGTTGTACGGATTGTACGGATGAGATGCTGTGAGGATTGGCAAACAAAACATGTGAGCCATAGAGGAGTGTGTGTGAGCTCTGACTTTCCTCAATGAAGGCTAGCATCGCATTGAGAAGAGATGCTAAACATTGCCAGCGTTTGGAGTGAAGCAAAAAATCAATGAAAAGCACACTTTTGCGCCCATAAAGTGGAGATATCTTCACATACAGTATAATCCGTTAAAATTTGTTAGTCCTTTGAATATGGTTTTTATTTCAATTTTTCAACTCTTATATGCTATTATAATAAATTCATTTAATTATATTTTCACTTTTATAAGAATTTAATATTTAAATTTTTTATACAACAAATTCTTATTTCTAAATACTTTAACATTTCATGGCTTACACTATTGTCTTCCTGTTTGAAAAGGCACTGATAGTAACCCACAAACTGCTGGAACTGTTCAGTGATATCTATTCTACTCATTTAATAGACAATGAATGTGACTTATGAATTACATACATTTTAGCACATTTTCAAAATATCTTAGACCTAATTTTTTTGTATAATTTTTGTGTACAATATCTAAATACAGTATAAAATAATTAAATATTATTTTTATAAACATATAAATAACAATGAATTTAATGAATTAAACGAAATATGAGTGAGAATTCATGTGATCTGATTGTATGGACACAACTACAAACCACGGATGAGATAATTGCCATCAACTGAGATGTCGGGCGAGTCTGCGGCCAATGCGACCAAAGATGACGAGACACTACCTCTGGGGGTGTTTCTGGTGAAGAGTGACAGCAAAGAGGAGAAACTGCTCTTCAGGTATCCGTACGCTATCGATGATACCAACCGACCATTGATTCAGACAAACAAACCCAACAAATACGCCATTATTATCACCGAAGACACCTTCAACAGCGATGAGACCACTTCGCTGGACAAACCGATCAACAAGACGTCTTCAATGCTGTCCTATTCAGACCTAACGTCCTCGATATCTAACCAATCGGTGAACACGACCACAAACGAGACAATCGCTAAAGTGATCGGAATTACCGACAATTCGTTCTCCAATTTGTTTGCCGTGAATATCAAACTCTGTGGTCAGAAGTTTGAGCTGAAGCTCAATGACATCCGATTCGTGGGACACCCGATGGTTCTGACGTTCGGGCAGAAGGAGTTACTGATCTTCAATGTGGTGTTCGCTCTGAAGGCCAACGCCAGTCACGATGTGGTCAACTGTTACCACGAGTTGAGCCAAAAGATTGCCATCGGTTTGCACTTCGAGGAGAACCGATGCGGGTATCTGTCGGCGGAGACCAAACTGATGGTCGCTCTTCACGACGAGGTGACCGCCATGACTGAGGACACGATGCACGACGAGAGCCCCTATAAACTCATTTTAGGCAAATCCAGGTTAGCTAAGGATCTCAAGAAGGTCTACGAGAGCCTGTCGTCCACCGGTTTGGTGAGAGTGCGGCTCAACCGCTGGATTGAAGTGAGCTTTTGTTTGCCGCAGAAAGTCCATCGACTGGTCCTCAAGAACCACTCGAAGGTGCCGTCGATTACACTGCAAAACATCCACAACTGTCTGCAGGCCTTACGTCCATACCATGCGATCCTACTTCTGGTCGACACTCAAGAGCTGTTGGATTCGTTACCACAGGACGCGTCGCCCGCTTTCATACGAATCGTGAGGTTCGCGAATCCCATCAAAAATCTGGTGGAGCTGTCGGCCGACGCAGACATTACACTGACTCAAGTGTTTCATATTGTGTCACAACTGGTCTATTGGGCCAAAGCGACAATCATTTACCCGTTATGTGAGCACAACGTCTATATCATCCACCCGTTGGCGCCAACCAGTGTTGACTCGCCTTTAGTCGAACAGTTCGAAGAGAAGTTCCCCGGAAGTGATAATCTTCTCAAGTATTTGTCCAAATTCTCGTTAAGTATGTCTTTGAGTCAATTACGGAATCCAATGGATCCTCATTTTCAACAGGTTCTTCAGGTATCACACGATTCACTCGAGTTTATAATTAACTCATAAATAATTAACTTTTCATTTGTTTTGAATTGAAGGTACAGATCGTGGTGTGGCTGTTGAAGAACCGGCTGCTTCTGGAGTTGCATACATACGTCTATTTGGTTCCCCTCTCACAGTCGGCTCCTTATATAACTCAACGCATCTCTCAGTCACAGTCAGACCGTCCCAACAGCTCTCTAACAATAACAGATGTGGACGTAATCGAGTTCAGCACCGGTAGCTCTTTTCCCAGCGAAGACTCATTGGCCACCAGCCCTCCCAATGCTACAAGTCTTCAGCACTCATCCAAGAGTACGTCTGAAGACGACTTGTCATCGCCGAAGTTCTCGGCGTCAATAGTGGAGGACTCGGGCAGTGCTTTGCTTAGGGATATCGGACTCTCGCAGAATGAGATCGAATCCATTCTTCGAGTGCCCGCCGCCAAGAACATCGAAGATCTCAAACTGTTTGCCAGATTGTGTCCATATTTTAATGGTAGACATCATTTGGAAGACATTATGTATAACGAGAACGTAAGACGCGGACAGTTGTTGGCATTGATTGACAAGTTTCGAGACGTCCTCTTCACGTGTCAGTACGAAGATGTCTCCGTCTCCGTCAACACAGGTATGTTAGTCTAGTGTACTTAAGAGTGAGTATAAAGCAAATTAAGTAATTTAAGTAACAATAAATATACAAATATTTTTATTATAAATTAATAAAATATGACATAAATCTATAACATTACAAAAAAAATAGGTCTAAGATATTTTGAAAATATGCTAAAAATTATGTTTTGCTTAACGTAATCACAATTAATAAGCGCACAAATATTAAAAGTGCAATCTTGAATGAGCATAATTCATCAGTCATATTCATTGTCTATTAAATGAGTAGAATAGATATCACTGAACAGTTCCAGCAGTTTGTGGGTTACTTTCAGTGCCTTTTCAAACAGGAAGACAATAGTGTAAGCCATGAAATGTTAAAGTATTTAGAAATAAGAATTTTTTGTATAAAAAATTAAAATATTAAATTCTTATAAAAGTGAAAATATAATTAAATGAATTTATTATAATAGCATATAAGAGTTGGAAAATTGAAATAAAAACCATATTCAAAGGACTAACAAATTTTAACGGATTATACTGTATGTGGAGATATCTCCACTTTATGGGCGCAAAAGTGTGCTTTTCATTGATTTTTTGCTTCACTCCAAACGCTGGCAATGTTTAGCATCTCTTCTCAATGCGATGCTGGCCTTCATTGAGGAAAGTCAGAGCTCACACACACTCCTCTATGGCTCACATGTTTTGTTTGCCAATCCTCACAGCATCTCATCCGTACAATCCGTACAACAGTATATAGATTTTATTTACAATATAT